ACTGCCATTATAATGTGGTATTTTATAGAGGACACGGCCATTATAATGTGGTATTTTATAGAGGACACTGCCATTATAATGTGGTATTTTATAGAGGACACTGCCATTATAATGTGGTATTTTATAGAGGACACTGCCATTATAATGTGGTATTTTATAGAGGACACTGCCATTATAATGTGGTATTTTATAGAGGACACTGCCATTATAATGTGGTATTTTATAGAGGACACTGCCATTATAATGTGGTATTTTATAGAGGACACTGCCATTATAATGTGGTATTTTATAGAGGACACTGCCATTATAATGTGGTATTTTATAGAGGACACTGCCATTATAATGTGGTATTTTATAGAGGACACGGCCATTATAATGTGGTATTTTATAGAGGACACTGCCATTATAATGTGGTATTTTATAGAGGACACGGCCATTATAATGTGGTATTTTATAGAGGACACGGCCATTATAATGTGGTATTTTATAGAGGACACGGCCATTATAATGTTGTAAACATAAACCTAACCTAAACATTTAACATTGATACAGTTTTAAACATAAACCTAACCTAAACCTACACATAGCAACCTACACATGTAGGTTTAGTGTCACGCTGACCTGTGTTATCAGTAGGTTTTCACTGACGTGGCCTAGAGCAGATAAAAACGTTTTGTCTTATCGAGTTCTTTCCTCTGATGGATGGGGGGGGGGGGGGGGGCTGTAAGATTATGTCGTTATGAGTCGGTTGTGGCCTTACAAGACACTAAAGTTGTTCTAGGATGGAGGAGGTGGGTGTGGGTAAAGTGTGTATGTGAGTGTGTGTGTATGTGAGTAAAGTGTGTATGTGAGTGTGTGTGTATGTGATTAAAGTGTGTATGTGACTAAAGTGTGTATTTGAGTAAAGTGTGTATGTGTGTATGTGACTAAAGTGTGTATTTGAGTAAAGTGTGTATGTGTGTATGTGAATAAAGTGTGTATGTGAGTGTGTGTGTATGTGTGTATGTGACTAAAGTGTGTATTTGAGTAAAGTGTGTATGTGTGTATGTGACTAAAGTGTGTATTTGAGTAAAGTGTGTATGTGTGTATGTGAATAAAGTGTGTATGTGAGTAAAGTGTGTATGTGATTAAAGTGTGTATGTGACTAAAGTGTGTATGTGAGTAAAGTGTGTATGTGAGTGTGTGAGTATGTGTGTATGTGAATAAAGTGTGTATGTGATTAAAGTGTGTATGTGAGTAAAGTGTGTATGTGAGTAAAGTGTGTATGTGATTAAAGTGTGTATGTGAGTAAAGTGTGTATGTGATTAAAGTGTGTATGTGTGTATGTAAATAAAGTGTGTATGTGAGTGTGTGAGTATGTGTGTATGTGAGGGAAGTGTGTACACATCATGTACAAACCATGCACACAACAGCTCACGATGGTGATATAAAAACAATTAATTAGTAACAAATTAGCTGGTAGATCTCATTCTCATACTGATAGGTTTATAACTTGGCGAAACCACACATATAGACTTAACCACCCATACAGACTTAACCACCCATACAGACTTAACCACCCATACAGACTTAACCACACATACAGACTTAACCACCCATACAGACTTAACCACCCATACAGACTTAACCACCCATACAGACTTAACCACCCATACAGTCTTAACCACCCATACAGACTTAACCACCCATACAGACTTAACCACCTGATACAGACTTAACCACCCATACAGACTTAACCACCCATACAGACTTAACCACCCATACAGACTTAACCACCCATACAGACTTAACCACACATATAGACTTAACCACCCATACAGACTTAACCACCTGATACAGACTTAACCACCCATACAGACTTAACCACCTGATACAGACTTAACCACACATATAGACTTAACCACCCATACAGACTTAACCACCTGATACAGACTTAACCACACAACAGACTTAACCACCCATACAGACTTAACCACCTGATACAGACTTAACCACCTGATACAGACTTAACCACCCATACAGACTTAACCACCCATACAGACTTAACCACACATATAGACTTAACCACACATACAGACTTAACCACACATATAGACTTAACCACCCATACAGACATAACCACCTGATACAGACTTAACCACCCATACAGACTTAACCACCCATACAGACTTAACCACCTGATACAGACTTAACCACCCATACAGACTTAACCACCCATACAGACTTAACCACCTGATACAGACTTAACCACCCATACAGACTTAACCACCCATACAGACTTAACCACCCATACAGACTTAACCACCTGATACAGACTTAACCACACATACAGACTTAACCACCCATACAGACTTAACCACCCATACAGACTTAACCACCCATACAGACTTAACCACCCATACAGACTTAACCACCCATACAGACTTAACCACCTGATACAGACTTAACCACCCATACAGACTTAACCACCTGATACAGACTTAACCACCTGATACAGACTTAACCACCCATACAGACTTAACCACCCATACAGACTTAACCACCCATACAGACTTAACCACCCATACAGACTTAACCACTCATACAGACTTAACCACCCATATAGACTTAACCACCCATACAGACTTAACCACCTGATACAGACTTAACCACCCATATAGACTTAACCACCCATACAGACTTAACCACCCATACAGACTTAACCACTCATACAGACTTAACCACCTGATACAGACTTAACCACCCATACAGACTTAACCACCTGATACAGACTTAACCACACAACAGACTTAACCACCCATACAGACTTAACCACCTGATACAGACTTAACCACACAACAGACTTAACCACCCATACAGACTTAACCACCTGATACAGACTTAACCACCTGATACAGACTTAACCACCCATACAGACTTAACCACCCATACGACAACAGACTTAACCACCCCCGCCCATCATGTGTTTAACCATCCCTAACCCTAACCGGTGTTTAACCAGCCCTAAGCTTGCCCTGCCCCGAGTGTGTACCGTGCTCGCCCGTCCACTGAGCACGACTACATGTGTACACAGACCACGCAACTCGGGGAAAACAATGCCGGAGTTCCGCCCCTTGAAACTAAAGATCGGAGCGCCAATGGAGCGGCGAGTTGAAAGGATTATTGTGTTTGTCTTTACTTTCGCCGTACAAACAAACGATCGAATGGGAGCATGCATTACGCTCGTCAGACGGGGCGATTTGATTGGTTCTTAGACAGACGTCAATCATCTCACGAGAGACAGCCTATCATGTTTCAATCTGCCATAGATGTTTCGGTTATTTTTAGCCGGCTAAATATCACATGGCTTTGAAGTTTCTAGAGTACTTGTGGTTTGCTGTCAATGCTGGTTGCTGTTTGATAGATGCGTTTTAGGTATGTGTGGGGTGGGGGGGGGGGGAAAGGGCAGTCAGTGAGTGGGGGCAGTGTGTGAGACAGTCGGTGTGTGGGGAAAGTAATTGTGTGGGGAGAGGGGGCAGTCGGTGTGTGGGGAAAGTAATTGTGGGGGGAAGGGTCAGTCGGTGTGTGGGGAAAGTAATTGTGGGGGGGGGGGGAAGGGGCATTCAGGGAAGTAATTGTGGGGTGGGGTGTCGTTCATGCTGATGTAAGAACGGCTATGTTGTTCATATCCTGAGTGTAACGGCCATGAAACATTGACGGGCGTCACGTGAGCTAGTCAGTGGCGTGCTTTAAAGTCGTGGGGTGGGTACCAGACATTGACGGATGGGGATCAATGGGGACATCGATCTGTGGCCGGCTATTGGTTATTGGGATATCGATTGGGTAATATACAGCATAACTCACACATTGTAAGGGCTATCTTTACATCTATTCAGGATGTTGGTGGGATGCTGGCGATTTGTTTCTTTGTTGAAATATAAAAAAAATTAAAATTGTTTTCTAACACCGAGCTAACAAGTACGACATGTCGGCCAATTTATATAGAAAAGATATACTTTGAAAAGTGTCCGCCCCTACCCAAAAGTTTCAAGAAAAAGTCTGAAAGAAACACTGCATGCATGTATATACAGATGCCGGGTATGACATTGGCCTTTATAGAATTGTGCACTGTTATAATATACCGACACCTGTAGCCACTGGCAGCTGGTGTGTCCGACACCTGTAGTCACTTATGTGTCCGACACCTGTAGCCACTGGCAGCTGGTGTGTCCGACACCTGTAGTCACTTATGTGTCCGACACCTGTAGCCACTGGCAGCTGGTGTGTCCGACACCTGTAGCCACTGATGTGTCCGACACCTGTAGCCACTGATGTGTCCGACACCTGTAGTCACTGGCAGCTGGTGTGTCCGACACCTGTAGCCACTGGCAGCTGGTGTGTCCGACACCTGTAGCCACTGGCAGCTGGTGTGTCCGACACCTGTAGCCACTGATGTGTCCGACACCTGTAGTCACTGGCAGCTGGTGTGTCCGACACCTGTAGCCACTGATGTGTCCGACACCTGTAGCCACTGATGTGTCCGACACCTGTAGTCACTGGCAGCTGGTGTGTCCGACACCTGTAGCCACTGGCAGCTGGTGTGTCCGACACCTGTAGCCACTGGCAGCTGGTGTGTCCGACACCTGTAGCCACTGGCAGCTGGTGTGTCCGACACCTGTAGCCACTGGCAGCTGGTGTGTCCGACACCTGTAGCCACTGGCAGCTGGTGTTATATGATGACCCTAGTGTAGTTATATGATGACCCTAGTGTAGTTATATGGTGACCCTAGTGTAGTTATATGGTGACCCTAGTGTAGTTATATGGTGACCCGCGTGGTAGTATGTGGTGACCCGCATGATGTTGTACGCTGTTGAGAATCGAGGTAGGTGGACTACCCTCAATCACCACCAGATATGACACCATGTTAACACCAGACATGACACCAGCAGCTGCCACCACTACCACCAACCACCATGAGTCTGTGAAAACAAAATGTCAAACAACTTTCTCTCTTCCCCAGGCAACTTCCCGCGCTTGTCGGCCTTTCCTTCAAGTGGCTACGTCAGCAAATCAGATGGTGAGTTCTCTACCCTTGCTAGCTCGCTCTTAGATCAAAGTTAGCGTGGTCGCTGCTGTCTGTTATCTGTGTTTACTTTTGTCTGTCTTACTTTTGTCTGTCTTACTTTTGTCTGTCTTACTTTTGTCTGTCTTACTTTTGTCTGTCTTACTTTTGTCTGTCTTACTTTTGTCTGTCTTACTTTTGTCTGTCTTACTTTTGTCTGTCTTACTTTTGTCCGTCTTACTTCTTGTTTTCTGTCCTGATGTGCTTGTCTGATGTCGTCTTTCTTCTTTAGTCTGTATTCTGTTTTCTGTATCTTCTATTGTCTGTTGGTTACAACGTCTGACATTTATATTCTGTCTTCCTTGTATGTCATCTATTTTTCGTTTGTTATTGTCCGTGTCTTTATTGTTTACTTCACGCAGCAAGTCAACCCCCCCCCCCTCCCCCACCCCCCCCCCCCCCCCCCCCCCACACCACCAAAAGAAAAGAAAAGCCACATACAGCCAAGCTTAAACCTTCAACACTGCAAGTTTTTCAGCTTAAATCCTGCCCGCCCCACCCTTAGACCCCCACTCCCTAGAATTTGTGGCCCAAATCTACTCACATTCACAACACGTGCATAACATTTAACCCCAATCTCTATCCATTTCTCGTCTTGTTATGCGCATGCGTAAGTCCAACGCGATTAGTTATCGCCCCTGGCTTGTAGCGGAAACGACGTAAATTTGCAATAGCATGACGAGCGGATAAGCGGGGCGGGTGATTTGTGGGAGTCAGAAGAAACCTTTGGCCGGCAGACAGCGCGCTAGGTTTTAAACCAAGTTGAAACCTACTTGCTAGGTTCGAGTAGGTTGCTGTATACAACAAACCTACTAGCCAGATGTGTGTTTTTGACTGTCTACAAAACCCCAGCTGGCTGTGTAAGTAAATGTACCAACCAAATCTCATTCACGTCATCTCATGTTTGTCTTCGTCGGGTATTTTTAGCCCCGCCCACCTCATTAATTAATGACTTAACAAAAGGAAATGACACCAACGGCCTGTTAACACCAGACGCTCACACACAGAATTATGTGCGTGCACACTTCGATCTGTCAACCACACAACTTTCACACACTTTATGCCTGCACATATTTCTCGGAGAATTTATTTAAACGCAAAAAATTTCCAACAATTTATTTGAGCGCATAAATTTCCGACAATTTATTTGAGCGCATAAATTTCCGACAATTTATTTAAGCTCATAAATTTCCGACAATTTATTTGAGCTCATAAATTTCCGACAATTTATTTAAGCTCATAAATTTCCGACAATTTATTTGAGCTCATAAATTTCCGACAATTTATTTAAGCTCATAAATTTCCGACAATTTATTTGAGCTCATAAATTTCCGACAATTTATTTAAGCACATAAATTTCCGACAATTTATTTGAGCACATAAATTTCCGACAATTTATTTAAGCACATAAATTTCCGACAATTTATTTAAGCACATAAATTTCCGACAATTTATTTGAGCACATAAATTTCCGACAATGTATTTGAGCACATAAATTTCCGACAATGTATTTAAGTAAACAACCCATTGAGCGAGTGAAGACGATAACAGCGTCCAACACCTCTAATCTCTACCAGCCTGATACACTCTAAACTTTCATGTTTGTAAACCATGGATTGACTGGACCAATTGCACTTTTCCAACTTTCTGATATTTTAATACACTGGATATTGATAGATAGACTGGACCTCTACAGGTTCCTGATAGACTGGACCTCTACAGGTTCCTGATAGACTGGACCTCTACAGCAGAGGCGTAGCGAGGGGGGGGGGAGGGGCGGGGGTGCGGACCGCACCGGGTGACACCATTTAGGGGGCGGGGGGTGACACCAAGGCAAAAAATAGCAAAATATATAGAGAAAAATTGAGGGGGGGGGGGGGGGAGGTGGTGCAAATCGAAAGTTTGAGGACGGGGTACAAATCGAAAATTTGAAAGTTTGTCCCCGGGAAGGGTCGCTAAGCCTCTGGGGGGTGACACCATTAAGTGCCGCACCGGGTGACACCCGACCTCGCTACGCCACTGCTCTACAGGTTCCTGATAGACTGGACCTCTACAGGTTCCTGATAGACTGGACCTCTACAGGTTCCTGATAGACTGGACCTCTACAGGTTCCTGATAGACTGGACCTCTACAGGTTCCTGATAGACTGGACCTCTACAGGTTCCTGATAGACAGGACCTCTACAGGTTCCTGATAGACTGGACCTCTACAGGTTCCTGATAGACTGGACCTCTACAGGTTCCTGATAGACTGGACCTCTACAGGTATAGAGCGGGACCTCTACAGGTTCCTGATAGACTGGACCTCTACAGGTTCCTGATAGACTGGACCTCTGCAGGTTCCTGATAGACTGGACCTCTACAGGTATAGAGCGGGACCTCTACAGGTTCCTGATAGACGGGACCTCTACAGGTTCCTGATAGACTGGACCTCTACAGGTTCCTGATAGACTGGACCTCTACAGGTATAGAGCGGGACCTCTACAGGTTCCTGATAGACGGGACCTCTACAGGTTCCTGATAGACTGGACCTCTACAGGTTCCTGATAGACTGGACCTCTACAGGTTCCTGATAGACTGGACCTCTACAGGTATAGAGCGGGACCTCTACAGGTTCCTGATAGACTGGACCTCTACAGGTTCCTGATAGACGGGACCTCTACAGGTTCCTGATAGACTGGACCTCTACAGGTATGTGATAGAGCGGGACCTCTACAGGTTCCTGATAGACTGGACCTCTACAGGTATAGAGCGGGACCTCTACAGGTTCCTGATAGACTGGACCTCTACAGGTATGTGATAGAGCGGGACCTCTACAGGTTCCTGATAGACTGGACCTCTACAGGTATGTGATAGAGCGGGACCTCTACAGGTTCCTGATAGACTGGACCTCTACAGGTATGTGATAGAGCGGGACCTGAGTGACTACTGTAACTACAGACATGGCCACGTGACTGCTGCCTTCAATCAAAAGTCTGGGACCTGCTGCTCCTGGCTGTGGGAAACTTGACAAATGGGAGGGGGTGGGAGTAGGTAGTACTCTTATTTGAGTCATGCCGAATACATGATGGTATCGATACATTGCTCTGTGTACTCATATTTCTGGTCAATACTTGATGGTATCGATACATTGTGTACTCACATTTCTAGTCAATACTTGATGGTATCGATACATTGTGTACTCACATTTCTGGTCAATACTTGATGGTATCGATACATTGTGTACTCACATTTCTAGTCAATACTTGATGGTATCGATACATTGTGTTCTCACATTTCTAGTCAATACTTGATGGTATCGATACATTGTGTACTCACATTTCTAGTCAATACTTGATGGTATCGATACATTGTGTTCTCACATTTCTAGTCAATACTTGATGGTATCGATACATTGCTGTGTGTACTCACATTTCTAGTCAATACTTGATGGTATCGATACATTGTGTACTCACATTTCTAGTCAATACTTGATGGTATCGATACATTGTGTACTCACATTTCTAGTCAATACTTGATGGTATCGATACATTGTGTACTCACATTTCTAGTCAATACTTGATGGTATCGATACATTGTGTACTTACATTTCTAGTCAACTTTATGTAATACGTGCTTATGGAATATTTGCCATAAACATCTTTTGTTGACGTACATTGAAACAGGTTTTGATTTAAAAAATCTATTCCTCATACAGATTTAGCTTGTTGTCTTCTTAAATATTAAAATGAGAATGGTATTGTACAGTCAAGATTGTGAGATAAAAGATAGCGATAAAAGAGATAAAAGAGACAAAAGATCACATTATGAGACTGGTAGAGATAAAAGACTATGTTCACATTATGAGACTGGTAGAGATAAATGACCTATGTTCACATTATGAGACTGGTAGAGAAAAAAGACCTATGTTCACATTATGAGACTGGTAGAGAAAAAAGACCTATGTTCGCATTATGAGACTGATGTGATAGAAATAAAAGACCTATGTTCACATTATGAGACTGGTAGAGAAAAAAGACCTATGTTCGCATTATGAGACTGATGTGATAGAAATAAAAGACCTATGTTCACATTATGAGACTGGTAGAGATAAATGACCTATGTTCACATTATGAGACTGGTAGAGATAAAAGACCTATGTTCACATTATGAGACTGGTAGAGATAAAAGACCTATATTCACATTATGAGACTGGTAGAGATAAAAGACCTATATTCACACTATGAGACTGGTAGAGATAAAAGACCTATGTTCACATTATGAGACTGACGTGTGTAGCCTGCCGATTCCTCTTCCACCTGCTACTGCTGTGTCTACGTTAACGTTCTCAGCGTTTCTTGCCTACCACAACAACAACTTTTGACTGTGTATTCGTGCCTACCACAACAACAACTTTTGACTGTGTATTCGTGCCTACCACAACAACAACTTTTGACTGTGTATTCGTGCCTACCACAACAACAACTTTTGACTGTGTATTCGTGCTTACCACAACAACAACTTTTGACTGTGTATTCGTGCCTACCACAACAACTTTTGACTGTGTATTCGTGCCTACCACAACAACTTTTGACTGTGTATTCGTGCCTACCACAACAACAACTTTTGACTGTGTATTCGTGCCTACCACCACAACAATTTTTGACTGTGTATTCGTGCCTACCACAACAACAACTTTTGACTGTGTATTCGTGCCTACCACAACAACTTTTGACTGTGTATTCGTGCCTACCACAACAACAACTTTTGACTGTGTATTCGTGCCTACCACTACAACAACTTTTGACTGTGTATTCGTGCCTACCACAACAACTTTTGACTGTGTATTCGTGCCTACCACAACAACTTTTGACTGTGTATTCGTGCCTACCACAACAACTTTTGACTGTGTATTCGTGCTTACCACAACAACTTTTGACTGTGTATTCGTGCCTACCACAACAACTTTTGACTGTG